GCACCTGTGCCTCAGTGAGTAGGGCACTGGCCCCATATACCGAGAGTGGAGGGTTCAGATCTGGTCCTGGCCAAAGCACAACAAATAAATAGCCGGGCATTGTGGCAAGCACCTGTAGTCCCAGCTACTCAGGAGGCTGAGGCAAGAGAATCACCTAAGCCCAGGAGTTGGAGGTTGCTGTGAGCTGTGTGACACCACCTCGGCACTCTACCCAGGGTGATAAAGTGAGACTCTATCTCTAAAAAAAAAAAAAAATAGCCAGGCATTGTGGCAGCGCCTATAGTCTCAGCTACTCAGGAGCCTGAGGCAAGAGAAGCACTTGAGCCCAAGAGTTAGAGGTTGCTGTGAGCTGTGGCACCACAGCACTTTACCAAGGTGACAAAATGAGACTGTCTTAAAACAACAAAAGATGAAATCTCACAAAAATAAGACCTTTCTGAAGAAAATTATAAATTTTACTGAAGAATGTTAAATAAAGTTTTGATAAACATATGTAAGTAGAACATCCCTAATCCAAAATGCAAACTTTCTTGGGCATTAATATATCACAATAGAAACCTGACATCTTTGCTTTGTGAAGCTTTTTTTTTTTTGGAGACAGAGCCTCAAGCTGTCCCCCTGGGTAGAGTGCCGTGGCATTACAGCTCACAGCAACCTCCAACTCCTGGGCTCAAGCGAGTCTCCTGCCTCCGCCTCCCAACTAGCTGGGACCACAGGCGCCCGCCACAACGCCCGGCTATTTTTTGGTTGCAGCCGTCATTGTTTGGCGGGTCCGGGCTGGGGATTTGAACCCGCCACCTTAGGTGTACGTGGCTGGCGCCTTAGCCGGTTGAGCTATAGGCGCCGAGCCTGCTTTGTGAAGCTTTAACCTACACAAAATGTTTCACTCTCAAAATTATCTGAAATACTGTATACCCTCATGTTATGTATATAAAATACAAATAAACTTAGTTTTTAGACTTAGGTCCTATTATTAGGATATCTCATTAGGTATATGAGAATATTTAAAATCCAAAATATCTGAAATCTGTAACACTTCTGAACGCAGACATTTCGGATAAAGGAGATTCAACTTGTAACAGTGCAATGATGTCCATGTTCTCAAAATTGGTCTGATAGAGTCAATGAAATTACAGTAAAATCCTACAAAGTTTTTCAAAGAATTTGACACAATTAAGTTCTAAGCAAAAGGCCTACTAAGGCCTACTAAGCAAAGAGCCAAGGGACTCTTTGAGAAGAACACAGATTCTGTGATTCATGTGGACATATGACACTGTGGCAATTAGGACCACATGGTGTCAGCTCAGGGAAAACACAATGACCAATGAAAACAGAAGGAGAGCCCAGAAATGTACCCAGAGGTGCATAAGAAATCTGGAAATAAGGTTTGTAACAGAACAAGAATCACGAACATCTGAAAAAGAATAAATTATTCGTCACCGCCAGGACGCTACGCGTCCCAGCACCACATGAAAGAACCAGGCGGGACATGGATTGAAGTGCTAGCTTGCAAGAGGTGGGCTAACCAGAGGTGCAGGAGAGCCCTGAGCTACCCCCCGACACACTCACAATGGCTATTTACTAAGGTTATACACAACAGGTGTGGAGAGTTAAAGTAATGACATACATACACAACATGAGAGCGGCATGCTGAAGGATTGCCACCTGCTCTTTCCTCATGTGTTCTTTCCCCACAACCCCCATGAAAGAGCACCAAGCATCAATATTTAACACTTGCTTACTGACGAGTGATTGATCTTATCTCATTTGGGAACACTGAGTTACTTGGGGGATTGCCCATAAGTCACAAAACATCTCTAGGCTTGCCAGGAGACTTTCCTGTTCTCTGCGTTTTCTTTTAATGTGATAAGAATCAGTAACTGTCCTTGCAAGCATGGTGTCCATTCCTCTACAACTATTTCATAAATAAATCCATTAAATAAAATTTTTAAATCAATAACAAATAGAATAATAATGTCTGCTATATGGGTGCATACAAAGAGGACAATTAACCCACTCAGTAAGAATGGCACTCATGGGTGGCAACTGTGGCTCAAAGGAGTAGGGCACCGGCCCCATATGCCAGAGATGGTGGGTTCAAACCCAGCCCCAGCCAAAAACTGCCAAAAAAATAAAAAATAAAAATAAAATAAAATAAAATTTTAAAAAATAATAAAATAAAATAAAATAAAATGTTGGTGATTAAAAAAAAAAAAGAATGGCACTTATGTTGAAAGAGGGCTTAACTGGTGGCACCTGTGGCTCAAGGCGTAGGGCACTAGCCCCATGTACCAGAGGTGGTGAGTTCAAACTCAGCCCTGGCCAAAAACTGCAAAAAAAAAAAAAAAAGAGGGCTGAATTAGCATTCAAGAGACATAAAGTTTTTGTATTGTCCTGGTGAAAACTCTTTAAGTTAGGTATTCATGATATAGCCTCCAAACCAATTAAGGGGAAAAAATAGAACACTGAGGGTTGGGGGAAGGAGGAACCACTATGAAAAAAAAGCAAAAAAATAATTTTAAAAAGAAACAGAAAAAGTAGGACAACCAGAGGCACAAAATAAAGTCATGGAAAGAAATTTCTCAGTATCAATAGTTGCAATAAATGTAAACGGACTATAAACCTGGCACTCAAAGACCAAGACTCTCAAATTCAACTTGTCAAAAATCCAACTACCCACTGAAGGTGGTGGCTCACGCCTATAATCCCAGCAACTCTTGGAGGCTGAGGCAGTATTGCTGGAGCCCAGGAGTCGGAGGTTGCTGTGAGCTAGGATGATACAACACTCTAGCCTGTGCTATAGAGTGAGACTCTTGTCTCAAAAAAAAAAAAAAAAAAGGAAAAGGAAAAGAAATCCAACTACTTGCTGCTTATAACAGATGGGGTTAAAAAAAAAATAAGACTTAGAAAATATATCCTAAACAAATACTAACTGAACAGCTTAGCCTACAGATGTTGGACTAGCTATATTAATATCAGATAAAAGAGACTTTTTAAGAAAAAGCCATTATTGCAGTTTACTACATAATAAAAGTGGAGGAAGGCCAAAAATAACTCAGAGACAGCTACACATAAATGGCTTATACATGCCAGAGAAAACAGCTATTACATTTTGGGATGATCTGATTAGCTGACAGCTTCCCACATGCCCAGCATGGGCTGTCTACCCTCAGCACCTGTCTAGGGCAATTAAAGAAAACTCCTATTTTTTAAATTTATGGATTTCCTGTAAAGCCTTAATATGTGGTAGAATCCATGTGATCCCATAGTCCTTACATCAGGTCTCCAGTCCGACCACTTCCTTTTTCAGAAGAGTCTCAATTAAAAAAAATATATATTGGGTAGCACCTGTGGCTCAGAGGGTAGGGTGCTGGCCCCATATACCAAGGGTGGCGAGTTCAAACCTAGCCCAGCCGAACCGCAACAAAAAAAATAGCCAGGTATTGTGGGGAGCACCTGTAGTCTCAGCTACTCAGGAGGCTGAGGCAAGAGAATCACCTAAGCCCAAGAGTTGGAGGTTGCTGTGAACAGTGTGATGCCATGTCACTCAAATAAAAATAAAAAAATAAAAAATTAGTGGCTCGGTGCCCATAGCACAGTGGTTACGGCACCAGCCACACACACGAAGGGTGGTGGATTTGAACCCAGCCCAGGCCAGCTAAACAACCGCAACAAAAAAATAGCCTGGCGTTGTGGTGGGCGCCTGTAGTCTCAGCTACTTGGGAGGCTGAGGCAAGAGAATCACTTAAGCCCAAGAGTTGGAGGTTGCTGTGAGCTGTGACTCTATGGCACTCTACCAAGGGTGACAAAGTAAGACTCTTCAAAAAAGAAAAAAATTAGTATTGCCTATTAAATAGCGGTTTAGAGAGAAATTGATAAATCTACCATTAGATGGCAGAAATTCAACATTCCTGTCTCAGTTATTAATAGGTTTGAGCAGACAAAAAACAATGAGCAGTGAGATGTGAGCAGCACGGTTTATTAACAAGGGGGCCCTTCTGGCCTCACACACAACCAGCCCCCAGAATTTAGTGCACATTCTTCCTAAGCACAGAAATTGGCCTCAGTGTGATCTTTTAGAAATAAATAAAAAGATAAAATAAAACTCCCCATAAGTTGGGACATTTAGATGCAAGTAGCTGTTCGGTGGGTGGTGTTGATGGAATGGCAAATGAATGCCCACCCTTGGCTGGGCAGGAGACTCCTCAAGGCAGGTGCTCTGAGGGACAGGGGAGGTGATAGCCCTTGGGGCTCCCTGTGGAGAGTGATGAGCACCCCAACATCACCCAGGCAGGGGCTGGCAAACACACTCCCGTTCAGCAGCTCCCTCTGTCTGTTATACACCCAACCTGGGTCAGCATAAAGCCCTAGGACATCAGAGAAGGGCATCCCCCAGTGCAGGATCATCTGACAGATATTGGGGCTCAGAGAGGTGGGCTCCTTCCACAGGCATCCAGCCACTAGAGTTAGAGAGGACAGAACTGGCCCCTAGAGCCCACCAGCTCACCATGCCCAGCCCCAAGTGAACAAAGGTTTCTTGGTACTACTGGAAGACCCAGATTCTTTCCCCAGGCCCCAGGAAGCTCCCAGAATTCTTAGCCCTATATGGACAGAATGGACAACCCTCACCCCAACCTCTGTGTCCTTGGTGCAGGATCTGTGCGCTGCATCTGCCCAAGAAATCACAGATTTTTTTTTTTTTGAGACAGAGCCTCAAGCTATCCCCCTGGGCAGAGTGCTATGGCATCACAGCTCACAGCAACCTCCAACTCCTGGGCTCAAGCAAGTCTCCTGCCTCAGCCTCCCGAGTAGCTGGGACTACAGGCGCCCGCCACAACGCCCGGCCGTTTTTTTTTTTGGTTGCAGCCGTCATTGTTGTTTGGCGGGCCCGGGTTGGGGATTCGAACCCGCCACCTTAGGTGTATGTGGCTGGTGCCTTAGCCGCTTGAGCCACAGGCGCAGAGCCGAAATCACAGATTTAATTTAAGAAACTTCTCCCAGCTCCGCAGACCAGGGTGAGAAGGGTGGGAGGACTGAAAGTGGGACTCTTCCAGAGACGGGCAGGACCTCTGCTCAAGAAGCCAGCCAGTCAACTCTTCTGGGGACACTGTCACAGGTGACTGGCCTCAACGGGAGTCTCCAAGGACAGGAATTGGACTGAGTTTGTCTATCCAAGTTCGTGGTATCGCACGCACCTGCGTGCAGACTGACTCCAGGCACAGCACCGCCAATACCTTGCTGTGTCCCCTCCGACGCCCCACCCCTCCACTCACCACCGGCGTGAACCCCCTCCTCACCGCCGACCACCCGCGGCCTCACTTTTAGGGTGATGGTGCGGTCTGTGGTCAGCGTGCCTGTGTCCCATCCATTGGGCGGTGTGCTCCTCCGGAGCAGGCCTGACACAGACCGTGAGGGGAGGGGATGCGGCCGGCTCAGTCGGTGACGCTCTGCCCCGGCGCGACCGCAGAAGCCGCAACCTTGGAGGCTCCGGGGGCTGGGCCGAGCTGGGCCGCGGGGCGGCAGCACTGAGACCGCCGGTGCGTTCCCGTTGCCGGGGCTTTGGCAGAGGGCAGAACCGTCGCCTAGCGACCGCCGGCCCGGAAAGCCATGGCATAAAAAACGCCCACAGCCCCTTTTGAGCAATGAACCCATCTACTAGGAGCCCGTGAGGGCTTTCCGGAGGCGGAGCGTGTGCTGCGAGCCCGGGAGGCCTGGAGTGCCCGGATAGACCGGTGTGTGGGGGACCCGGGCGCGACCTGGGCAGAACTCGGGGCTCTAAAGGTTAGAGAGGCTCAGGACTGGAGGGGCGCGACCAGGGTGCCCAGACAGCCCACGTTGTCAAGGAGATCCACCCACAGTCGGCTGTGGTACAGAGGCCTTGGAAGGAGGGGAGAGGCTGCGTGAGACTGGCCTCTCCTCTGCTTCCAGTCAAGCAATGTAAGCCTCAGATCACGAGGTGGGCGGACAAAACGGCCAGGACCTGGGAGCGATGTTACTGTTGCCATTGTTGGCTGCAAAATAACCGGGTGTCTCTCCAGAGCCAGTGGCCAAGAAAGGGTCAGGTGTCAAGAGTAAAGCACCCCCAAAGCTGGGGTTCACATTCCAATTGTGTAACCCTGGGAGCTGCCCACTCGGAGATCATCTCTGAGACAGCCTAGCCACCTGGAGGCTCCCTCAACCATGCCTGGGTCTCACTGGTGAGGACTGTGACCAAATTAAGGGGCGGAAGGTGGCACCTCTCCTGATGACCCCAGGAGAACCCCAGGGCTCTGAAGTGTGGAATAGATGTAGAGAGCGCAGGGCTGACTGACCCTGACCCACTGCGACTTTATAAGGGGGCACAGGGGCCTGGGACAAGCCCACAGGGTTCTCGACCGCCCCCTACTGCCCTCACCAGCAGTCCAGACGTCCCCTCAACGCCTGCTGATGTCCGCCGAGCCTGTCTCTATGCTACAGGAGATTCACCCTGGCCACCACCTGCTTGCAGCCGGTGATGGCGAACTCGCGGCCAGCAACACGATAGTAGCTGAGCTGCGCGGCCAGATGCTCAGCGCGGGCCTGCTCCGGAAAAAATCCCTCGCCCGCCATCTCGTCCCGGAAGCAGTTAACCACGTCCCGTTTATCCAGCAGCAGGAAGGGCACGACAGCCGCAGCCTGCCACAGCGGGTGCTCATGGGCTAGGAGTGCCCGCAGGCTGGCACGCAGGTCCTCCTCTGCCTGTGCCGCTGCGGCCCGGGCGCTGCGGGCCCCGTCGGGGCGCAAGGAAAGCGTGCGAGACGCGTTCTGCAGCACGAATCGCGTGATCTCCGCGCCCCCGGCGCCACTAAGGAGCACGTAGATTGCGTTGTGGAAATGGTGGGAGCGCTGCGGCTGCAAGAAGCCGTGCAACTCGTCCAGCAGCGCAGGCGGCATGAGCTCCACCTCATCCAGCACCAAGAGCGGGGTCTTCTCCTCCGCCTCAGCCCGCGCCACCACATCGGCCACCCGGCGCGCCAGCTCCTCGCGGCAGTCCTGCGTGGCGCGCTGCTCGGGGCAGTGGTGCCGTGTGTGGTACTGCAGCACAAGTGCACTGTCTTCGAGCACGGCGCGGAAGTGGCGTGCCAGGAGGCGGCCCACGTGGCTCTTGCCCACGCCACTGGGTCCGTGCAAGGCCAGGAGGAGCGGCCGACTGTGTACGTGCGTGGCCAGGTAGTCTCGCATCAGCGCCACGACGCGCCCCACAGCAGCTGGCTGGCCGAACACGGTGCGCTGCAGCACTTTCTCCAGCCCGTCGAGGTCGTAACGCTGAGCGTTATCGTCCAGGTTCTCAATGGCGTTGAGCACCTGAAAGCCCACGATGGCCACAAGCAGCAGCAGGCAGCGCTGTGCGCGGCTCCTACGCTCCACGCGCGGCCGATACTTGCGTGAGGTCTCCGGGTAAAGCACCACGCGGCTGCGCCGGCGCTTCTTGCGCGGCGTCCTAAAGGACAGCTCCGCTGGGCCGTCGAAGGTGAAGAATTGTGGCTGGTCCAGGGTCGAGCGCGGTGCCCCGGAGGTGCAGCTCAGCCTGGGCGCCCCGGTCCCCTCTGGCCCCGCGCTGGGAAGTGGGAGGCGCCGCTGGCGGAGGACGCACACCCGGCGGCGCAAGCGGAGCACAGCGCGCACCGGCGCGATCACGCAGGGACCCGAGGCTCGGGGGACCGCGGCTGTGGGTTCCGGGCTGGGCTGGCCACGGTCCATGGCGCAGGCGCAGCTTTCGGCATGCAGGTCGCCCTCCCTGCAACTGAAAGATGAGGAGGGTCTCTGGACTCCTGCCAGGGCCTTACCCCGCGGGTCGCCTGTGGAACCCTTCCCAGGAGTGATCTTACCCCCGGGAGCCCCGCGGGGTGCGTCCAGTACTGCCCCACAGCCAGGGCCTGATCTTGGCCTCGCCTGCTGACCAGGAAGCGCCCGCTGACCAGGAAGCTGTTCCTCCGCGGGCCCCAATGCAAATATCTCAGGTCCTCAGGAAGTGGCCGGGCTGGTGTGGGGGTGCAGCTTATCTGGAGCCCGACCTGCTTCCTGGAGGAGGAGTCGGGTGGCAACCATGAGCTAGTTAGGGTGAGGAGAGGTCAAGCCGGACCCTGCCCCCACCTGCAGCTCCACTGGACTCTGTCCCTAGGAGGGAGCACAGATGCTAGAGATCGGAGTACCCCTGGGCATTCAAAGATGCCCACCCACTCAAGAACACTGAAGGAGTGTCTAGCCGGAAATTAGTATTTTGATATGGGCCCCAGGCCTGTCCCTTGGTTCAGCCCAGACCTCCCAGCTCCCCACGCCAAAACTGGGGTCCTCCCTACAACCCTCCAGTGAATACACTTACAGGGTAGTGAGGCTGCAGCTGGAGACCAGGAAAGACCCCCACGGGTAGGAGAAGGCAGGGAAGAGCCACCCCAAGGTAGGGGCTTGTCTGGGCCCTGCCCCCACCCCCACTACCTGCAGCCCCACCTCCCCTAGGTGCCTGCACCAGATCCTGCCAGATGCTGTGGCTCAGGAAACAGGAAATTCCAGGCCCCCCTAGGAAGGTTGTGGGGGCCTCCTGGGTGCTGAGGCCCGGAGGGTCCCTAGGGAGCAGCACCTGTGCGTCCCCAGGGAGCGTCAGAGCAGAGGAAGCTCTGGGGAGGTTTCCACTTGTATACAAAGGAAGTGCGTCAGGGGGTGTGGCACAGGCAGGACTTGGGCTGGATGGAGGCCCCAGAGGGGGAGGCCTGGCTGGCTTGCCAGATGCCTTGCTGGCAAGTCACCTCCCTCTCCTCTTCAGTTCTGTACTCTCCACACTCTCCTAGCTCTCAGCCTAGGCCTCTCCCACATGCCTGCCCCATACTTGGCTCCTTGCCCAGGCTGTCCTCCAGGGCCCCCCACCCCCACCCCAGAACACCACTTAACCCAGCCTCCACAGGGCAGAGTGGAGGGGCAGGCAAGGTCCTACCAGGCTGAAGCCTTCCAACTCCCCCTCTTCTCTTACCCTCCTCTATCCCAAAATGGGGCCTCAGAGCAGGGCTTATTTCCTTTTCCTGCCCCTTCCTCTGTCCCCCAACCTGGATCCCCTTGCCCAGGTCAAGACAGCACACACTGGGACAGAAGTTCTAGAACTGGGGATGTCTTCACGTGGCTCAGGTCCCTCTGCGCATTGGGGAGCAAATTTAGAAAGAACTTGGGCCAAGGCTCGGCGCCTATAGCTCAACCGGCTAAGGCGCTAGCCACGTACACCTAAGGTGGCGGGTTCGAATCCCCAGCCCGGACCCGCCAAACAAC